CAGAGCTTCAAAAGATGACCTCATAGGGAAATATGATATTTATTATGTGATATTAAGGACAATGTTTTTGATTATGCTTATTAGTGTGCAATGTGGTTTTGATGTCACTACCCGAGTTCTCGTTGTGAGGACGTGACATCACTCGGTTTTGATCTAGATTAACATGACAGGAGGACATCATGGCACGACCTACACATGGTGCATGACGCGCGTATCTTTTCGGGACAAATGGTTACCCGTCCTGGTCCATGTAGGTGTGCATGATGTCTTTTTATGCCCCCGGGAAGAACAAAGTTTCGTTTCCAGTTTTCTGCGAGAAATCATGACAAACGTCTTCGATCTACCCAAATGCAAAAAGGTTCTTATCGAGTTATCTGCAAGAGTGTTCATTATTTCAACTGCAAGAAAAAATAGTGGCTATTTTCTAGTGACAAAACTAAATTTGGATGAATATATTAGGTTTTCTCAGTAGAGTTTTGTGAAATATAGTAAACGATTAGAAGAAATACTAAATTATTTATAAGGCATGCATTTTTTCTATTACTTAGATCTGATCAGCGATGCTGGAGAAAAGAAAAAACAGTAGAAGTTTTTTTTTTTTTTTTTTTTTTTTTTTTTTTTTTTTTTTTATTTAGACGAACAATCCAAATACATATAAAAGAAAGTGAGAGGATTACAAGTCAAGAAACTGTACTGAGACCTCTTGAATTTATATATCTTAACAAACAAGAAACGGTAACGCTTAAGTCCTTAGTACGGCTATATTGAAATTAATATTTAGAAACGTTTAAAGAATGAAATGCCTACTCTCATGTCAATACATTGATATGACCATACTGCTGATATACTTAAAAGGTGAACATGTTCGCGGTGTGGAGATTTTGTCTTGTTCAGTAAATTAGCGCATTAAAAATGTCAACGCTCTAATATCTATTTATAGATCATATCAATTATTAATTAACAGATTATATAGACTTCAGATCCGGTGCCAATGCGAAAATTTCCATACTGCGATCAGAATAGTGAGTCACAACGCGAACATTTCCACACGCAAAAATTTCCATTTTTATAGTATATTAACGTTATCGTTTGCCTTTGGCGTATACCTGTTTGATAGACAACACTTCAATTTGTGTTCTATTTAAATAGCTTATTCCAATGATCTTATATTTGCTTTCTCTATAGATTGTATATTTGAAGGAGACCTTTAACAAGGAGGGAGCGTACTTACAGTACAGCCGACCTCGCTTGCCCACCTTAGTTATATAAGATCATCGTTCGGTACCAAACCCTATTACAATCGTTTATAATACAAACGATGTCTCTACATTCTGTGTGATGTCACCCGTTCTTCTGAGAGATGAGCCGATCCCATGACGATGAGATTCTTCTGTCATGACCTGTCTGCGCACAATTAAATCATTGTCTTATAACTATCCACAGGAAATAATACAGATGAATTTATAAGGTTTAGACACAGACAATAGACATTTTTTTCGTGAGAACAATTTATTACGACTGCCCACAGAATTTCACTTGTCCTGCCCTAGACACTATACATTCGAAATCGAGTCTGTCCAGCCAGCCATGCTTTCTTCAGTCGCTATTTCCCAGAAGGAAAAATGCATAATGGCCGATTATTCACGGCGAGAAAACTTCTCTATTGAATGTAATCGAATATGGCGAAGCTATTCACTTCTATTTATTTCCGCATAAGTACAAGCGGACATTTCTTAAACTAAAACATCCGTATTTAGCATTACGTAATATTCTTGTTGTACTGATTCTTCTCGAGAACGGAAACTGCAGACACCTCCCGACTACAATAAATAGGCATGCGTATACATGTGGTAGCTTATTTCAACAGGGTGTATGTGACTTTTTTATTTACCAAACATGTTTTAGTTATTTATTCCATTAATCACTCTTGTTGGCCTGGATGGAAGCGCATGGAATAAACTTGGATTACCAGGAGAGAACCGATGTTGTCGGGTTTGCGATCCAATACCAGCCTAACCCGATCCGGGAATGGTACTCCGACCGTCTTGGTGAAAGAGTGCTTTATCTATAGCGCCTCCCGACCACATTGCCACTCCCTACCAAATTAGCTTTAAAATGTTAAGGTATAAGGACATACAGTATAAGCATTCCTGTAGAGAGTGTTAGATATATTAGCAGAGGCAATATCAGACATGCAGAATGAAAATTCGGGTACTTGTATTTGCTATTTGTATGAGACAATCCAATCATATGCACAAGTATAAGATAACGAATGCTTTATATTGCCGTTAGAGACAAAAACCTACAAACGTAGTATTTTATTGTATTCAATTTTTGGTTAACCGCTTGTTAATGATGAAACTATTATGCAAGTCTGTACATTATAAATGTCGGTTTACGAGAAATAAAAACATCAGTAATTCTTTATGTATCATTTTTGCAGCATTTAACGAAAATGTCACCCCATCTCCTTCCACAATAAAGCGACAGGTAAATACATTTTTCTATTGGACATTTGGATTCGTCCAGGGAAAAATTGTAATGAATATGTGCGGATAAGGTTTTGTCTGTGTGTTAACTTTGAACTTATATTTATGTTAACATTGTATCATTTGAATAACTGATCATAAAATAAGAACATTCCTTGTCGAGGTGTTAAACAATACAAAAAAAAAAAAAAATCCTTTGAATGCTTAAAATACAAATATATGGCTAATCAATTTTCATATTTCCTGAGGCGTCATCATATTTACGTTGCAATAAGAGCGAATTTTATCCACTGTAATCAATTTCTTTCTCTATTTTATCATGAGTGTGATATCTCCAGGAAATTTCTGACTAGTTTCATGGAGGAAGAGGTGGTCTGTATTCTATTCAGCTTGTCGTGTGGACTTTCTGTACCAAACAATGATGGATCTCGATAGTGCCTATCCCTGGGTGATATCAGCTAGGTTTTAGTAATGTTAAATGTTTAAGTTACGTTTTAAAGTCACATAAAATAAGATGTAAGTTCGTACGTAAATGATAAAGAAGGAATAAATTGCATGCTATCTGTTATCTATACACGCTTGTAATTTTTAAAATTTCAATTTTGATCTTAAACATCCAGGTAAACAACAGAAGTACAAAAAGAATCTTGACTCTTATATTATAAATCAAGCCAGGGAAGTCACATGTAAACATCCAGATAAACAACAGAAGTACATAAAGAATCTTGACTCTTATACTATAAATCAGACCAGGGAGGTCACCTGTATATCAAATACCTACTACTACTTTGTTTGATAAAAATATTTTTGAAAAATCAATATCTTAAAGATAATCTAATTCTGTCCACGTAGATGAAAAGAAGGTCGTTTATGACCTCTTGACCCGAGAAAATCAAAACTAGTAGCACATAATACAAAAAGTCTGATATTAGCTCCGGGTACAACATATAACGATAACGTATCAATATAGGTCAAGCACTTAGGTCAATAGGAACTTTTATTTGATCGCAAAGCCATGTCTAAAACTCCACTTACAGCTCCAGATAATGTTCTTTATACATAAAGTACTAGTAAAAATAACAGCCTGATTATAATTTTTCACTTATGATCTGAAATAAAATGGCATGTTTATAGAAGGTTTTTATACGAACACTGGAAGTGTTGGCTTAAATGTGCTTCCGCCATTATAAAGCGTTTTGTTGACATAAAATTAGACTTCTAATTAAAATGGCGCCAAAAAAATAAACCTCCGTAAAAATATTTATTACTTTAACCCTTTCACCACCGCAGACCATAATAGACTCATCCATATCAATGCATGGTAGAGTCTACTAAATGAACACAGGGGTGAAGAGGTTAATACGCTTTGGTAGAACGATTACTGTTATATCTATGTACTCACGGGTGGATTTTATTGACATTTTTCGAGAGAAAAAAATTAAATAATCACGACACCATAATCCTTGGCATCTATCCTCAGGGGAAAGGATATAATCAATCGAAACACCGTCAGAATATGTACGCTGTATAACAATAACAACGTCAGCGAACAGTTCGTCTATATGCTGATCCCACATAGTGTAAAGAACTAATCGCTACATGTGAATTCTTAAAGAAAGCTGTCCCGTGTTTGTTTGTATAACGTGATAAACGCGATCCATACGATATTGTTTAAATTAATCTTAAACACAATATTGATGCTTTTGTGTAAATGCATTTCGTTGTTATATAATTATATTTATTTCATGAGTAACATATTGATTTAAATGTAATTCTGCCCACAGCATGGTGTACATATTGCTGTTAGTGCAATTTTGTACATATCACGATTATATATTGATGTTAATGCAATTCCATACATAATATGTTGCACATTTCAACGGAAATGTATGCCTCTGTCACACTTGACCGGATTGAGCCTCCGAACGTGAAACGGATGACTTATTTGTATATCCGGTGATGTTCGTCAATATTCATTTTATGTCAGTTTTATGTTCGGAACATTCGTTTCATGTCAGGTGATGTGCGGTGCGTCCGCCTGCATCCGTTAGAAAGTTTTGTGCATGCACAAAAATTGAAACGGACTGTGACGAACAAAAACATTCGTTGGTTGTCCTGTGCATGTCCGTTTTGTCCTGTTTATCTCCTGTCGTTGTTCGCAATTCCTTCGTTTATATATGCTGTAGGTGTACGGGGGGGGGGGGGATACATTGTACAGTCCGTAGATGGAACTTGAACGCATACGCCACGCGTTAAGCGGACCTTAAACGAACACCTAACGGACAAACACAGGATGCCTGCAGGATTAACACCGAACACGACGAATAGACAAACGAATTGAAAAACGGATAAAACGTACAGAACTGATGAATACAGAATACCTACAGAATACCTGCAGGATAACTACAGGGGGAGGAACCGACTACCGGCAGAACCTGATCATCCCAGGGCATATATAAAGGTTCTTAGAAGCTTCCAAATCAGATTCACAGACAGTTTTCCAGCATCACCATGGATTGTCAGGCTAGAGTTTCCCTGCAGTTTACGGCCGCCTTACTGCAGGCAGAAATGCATATGAACAATGTTCAGATGGACCTTCAGCAGTATCTTTCCCACAGGAGAAGAAGGCGCCACAGGGGTCAGCGAAGACGATATTGGTCGAGGTCATGGCTGAGCCCGGAGAGACGAAGGCAGTTCGGTCTGTATGACCAACTCATGGTAGAACTGCGGCGGGAGGACCCTGCCGCCTTCTGCAACTTCATGCGCATGCATCCGGAGATGTTTGACGAAATCTTGACACGTGTGGGGCCACGCATCACCAAAAAGCAGACCTGGATGAGGGAACCGCTGGAGCCAGGGTTGAAGTTGGCCCTCACACTTCGGCATTTAGCATCAGGTGCAACGTACATGAACATGCGCTATGGCTGGAGAGTTCCACACAACACCATCTCCCTCGCTGTCAGAGAGGTAATTATCATTTTTATTATCTTGTCTCATTTTTTCATGTATTTATTGCATTTATGTCCCTTTTATTGAAACATAATTATTTAAATGTTTTGTATTTGTGTCATTTTAGGTATGCCAGGCAATTGTAGACGAGTATTTGATGAGGTGATGCCACTGCCAACTGATGCCGGAGACTGGCTGGAGATAGTGGACGGCTTTAAGAAGAAGTGGAACTTCCCACACACCCTTGGGGCGCTAGATGGCAAACACATCAGCTGCAAGAAACCACCAGGATCGGGGTCAACTTACTTCAATTACAAGAAGTTCTTCTCTGTACTGCTCTTTGGTTTGGTCGACGCAGACTACAAATTTGTCTGGGTGGATATTGGTGGACGAGGCGCTGCAGGTGATGCTCAGGTGTGGAATGAGTCAGACCTTAAGGAGGCAGTCGATAGTGGAGAAATGCCAATCCCTCAGTCTAAACCCCTGCCAAAAGACAACGTGGATGTTCCATACTTCTTCATTGGTGAGCATATAAGAAACTACTTTGAAATTTCTGTCTGATATTTTATTTACAATGTTTATTATGTCACAATGATACATTGACTAATGTCTTCTTTGTATTTTCTGTAATTTCAGGAGATGATGCATTTGCCTTGCGACCCACCATGCAAAAGCCCTTTAGTCTGAGAGGCATCTCCAGGGAAGAGCGCATATACAACTACAGGTTGTCCCGGGCACGACGAGTGGTCGAGAATGCCTTTGGTATCTTGGCCAATCGGTTCCGCGTTCTGCTGACCACAATGCAACACCCACCCAGCACTGTGCGCCTCATCACTACTGCCTGCATCTGCCTTCACAACTGATGCGCATCAGATATCCAACGATGCAGAACCAACTTGTAGACACGGAGGATGCCAACCACTATCTCACCCCAGGAGAGTGGAGACGGGGACGCAACATGCGTGACTGTGTGGTAGTTCAAGGACCCAGCCGTGACAACCGTGACGGAAAGAAGCTCCGGAACCTCCTGAAGCATCGGGTCAACTCGCCTGCTGGATCTGTGCCATGGCAGGACCGCATGATTTGAAAGTCACCACAAGTCAACAAAAAAACAACAACACTGAAACCTTTACCGGCCTTTCTCAAGGCCACTAATTGCTGCCGTTAATGAAGAAATGACATTTTTTAAAGCCTTGTGTATTTATTGGCATAGGTTTAAACATAAAAGGTTAACTAAATAAAACAAACATGAAATAATGTACACATGTGTATTACATGTGTAATACGTATGTATTACATATTACATATTACATGTGTAGACATACAAATCTAAAATACATGTGCAGAATTAAATTACACATGTCATTGTAATACATGTACACATAAAACACAACAACATGTGATACATGTGTGGCACAACTGGTCATGAACAATGCAATACAATTAACAATGTTGACATTTTATTATGGTTATAAAACAGCAATGACAAAAATCTGAATCTACAAATGTTTTAAAGTTAAATTTACACTTTTGAGTGGTGCCCGGCGATGGCGAACAATCGCCCGGAGAAATAGGAATCGAGCCATGACCCACTCCTCCCTCTGTGTGAAAACCCTGCTGGGATCCCCCGACTTCTGCTTGAGCAGCTTTGTGTTCCAGTCCCGAAGGTCTGTGTACCAGGTCTTCAAATACNCGACCCACTCCTCCCTCTGTGTGAAGTCCCTGCTTGGATCCCCCGGCTTCTGCTTGAGCAGCTTTGTGTTCCAGTCCCGAAGGTCTGTGTACCAGGTCTTCAAATACTCGACTAAAAATATAGAAACAGAAACAATATTAAATACGAGAACAGTGTGCAGAATCTGGCAATGCATGATCAGTGACAAATTGACAACATCAATCTAACACATTTGGGCCATCTTCCTATGACAAATATCACAACAACATCAAAGACAAATAGATAAATAAATGGAAACTTACCATCATAGTTAAGCCCTTCAGCCTGCTCAGCCCACAAGCGGCCCTTCTTGGCCTTATTCTTGAACTCCTAGACTTTGGAGTTCCATAGTAAGGGATTGGCCTCTATCCATTCTAGCACCAAGGCCTCTTCCTCCTCATCTTTCAGATGGCAACATTTCTTGGCCCTCTTCTTGGCAGTCTGTCGCCCATCACCTATCTCTTCGCCACCTTCAACTGCAACAGGCACGTCATCACCACCTTCATCATGCTGAGTTTGTATTTCCTCAGTTTCTTGTGCACCAGCATGCATTTCAGCATCAACAGCCACTTCTTCTGTCACTTTTTCTTTTCCAGGCACATTCTTCGTGTTCTTCTTTGCTTTCCTTCCACGAGGCATTGTGGAGATGCAGTCAGCAGTGCAACTTTTCGAAAACTGGTCCGCTGGAGAAATGCATTCGCAAATACACCTTGTTGTTTCCTGCACGCATGTCCGTTATGTGTTCGGTTTGTCCGGAATGCATCCTGTACGCCTCCTGATTGACCGGTTCATGTTCGTTTGTTGTTCGGCACTCATTCGGAGACACTTGGCTGGTTGAACTGTAGCCGTGCGTTACATGTTCGTTACCGGTACGTTTCAACCGTTCCATGTTCGGTGCAAGTACGTCCGTAGTTTGGGTTTTTCTACCGGACAGACCACTTTGCCACCGGATACCAAAAAATCGCATACGTTGATGTACGGAAACCCAATCCGGTCAAGTGTGACAGAGGCATAATTATTTACAAAGGATGATGTACAATTCCACGAAAATGTAATTATGTATATATCATGATGTTCATATTGATAGTGATAAAATGCTTTACATAGCGTGATGTTATTGAATACTAAGCTGTAAGCTAAGCGTGACAATTGTGATTTTAAGAGAATGAGATGTCCCTTCCTTGATACAATGTCTTGATGTAACAGTTGATTTGGTCATCAAGAGCTTGCCCATGATATCGTAATTTCGCAACAGCTGTGAGTTTTTTTCAATATCCGTTATTCTGAATAACGATTAACTGTACACCTTTACTTTGCTCAAGGGTAAGGGTTCATGCAGTGTGTGAATTATAACTATATATTTTGGTACTTTGTAAAAAAGGAAAATGTAAATATCATCTTTCAGCCTGTAGCCTGTGATACGTACATTTGGGCCGTCATAAAATTGTTCGTCGATGTGTTTTAGGTTATCTTGTACCGATATCTTTTCAGCTGATAAATTTAGCTCTCACTAAGCATGTTTATTGTAACTCACGATTAAAAGTGACTATATTTAGATTCACGTGCGTTCAACCGCATAACTTCATCAATAGACAGCACAATATTGATACAAATGATTTCTCACAGGACAGATCTTCCGGAACAATGGATAAAGTGTAAAATGTAGTAGGTTTAAATCACGTGCTAACTAAACCGTTGGAAGGCCACACGATTCCTGTGTCAGTATATATATGGAAACGTTGCAGACAAATCCATCGCAATGAGGTTTAACCTCTCTCCTACTTCACCGATTTGGTTTGGTTTGTTTGTGTTTAACGTCCAATTAACATCTATGGTCATTTAAGGACGTGCCAGGTTTCGGTTGTGGAAGAACGTCTGAGTTCCAGGAGTAAAACCACCGACCTACGGCAAGTTCCTGCCCCCCCCCCCCCCCCCCCCCCCCCCCCCCCCCCCNTTTCTTTATTTTCATACCTAAATCGTCTTTCTAAAACATTTTTAAGAATATTTTTTAAACTGAATACTAATCAAAGCACCTTGCAACTACACTTTTTTTTTTCAGTGCAAACAATGAAGTGCCACAGTTGTAAAATTCTTTTTACAAATTTCTGAGCTTTTCTTTATATTCATGGATTAAAATATATGTACAAAATGTAAAATATAATCATCCACAGATCCGGCTCCGGGATCACCAACCAGAACGTGACTTAAGTTATGCTAAGCCAGTCGCGTATGACATAAATTTTCGTGACACTAATTGTGATTAGCTCAGTCAAAACTTAAGACATGTTCTGACTACACTTGTAATGAAAGCTTAAAAACTAATCCTAAATATTTAAATACAATTAAATCGATTGTTGATAACTATCTCTCAGTTAGAGTTATCAAATCCTGTTATTGCCTCATAACATTATTTGATACATACCAGCTTTTATAGTCTAAATCTATTACAATAAAAACTAAATTTTCTGACATGTTGACATTTGGCTAAAAGTGCATCTGACTGTGATATTTGGTAAGATTAATATCAAACTGTCAGTGTCCATTTTCACTGATAAATTGTTGAATACGTCAAGTTTATAAATTAACAACGCTTATTGCTTGTACAAGAAAATCAGCTGTTTTATCGGAATCTGATATAGGGTAATCCCTTATTATAAGGATATTACATTTTCCCCGCTGAAATGCAATAGGGTTTAGCAGATGATGAGGGAATAATTCACGTAACAGTTTTTGGGGCGGTTTGTTTTATAAGCTTAAGACATGGAGGGTCTGGAGGCAATAACAATAAAGTATAAATTTCATAATGATTTATGCAGAAATCTTTATTTTTATACCATGTGTTATTTCACGAAATATCCATGAATAGAGGTTTAAGAGCAGGGAACGCCGACATTGTAATAACTATAACGTTGTAACCAAAATAGCTAATTTATGAGGGGCCGGTAGAGCACTGTGATATATGTCTTAAATGTGAACTTAGAGTGCTAGGATAGATAAATCATTATTCAATGATATGACAAAATTGGGAGTAAAAAGGCGATTGTATTCTGAGAGCGATTTCAATAGCTGCATAAAATGCCATTGCCTCGTAAACAAAGTAACAAAAATAGATTTACCCAAAGGTACTGCGCAATAAAAGGGTGATTTATTTATAAGGCGACCACAAAAGATGGAGATAAAACTCATAGCAAACACATTATCTGCAAATTGCTTTGATAGATATGAATCAAACGTATTGACTACCCTGTTTTGCTGACCGTGAACACAGACATAATTCATCCCGCTTCCGTACACGTTGTATTGACCGCCTATCAGGGAGCAATACCAGAATATACAAAAGAGAACTTCACTCGCAATAACGAGATAAGTTGTCTCGTAAAATCGAGTTCATTTAACTCGTCATATCGAGATAACTTCATTCGTGATAACGAGATAACGTAAGATGTATCAACGATATACACAATTGTTTTTTAAGTTGTAATAACGAGATGACGTAGCTCGTAATAACGAAATAAAAATACTCGTAATAACGAGATAAGTCGTAATATTGGCATAAAGTAAGTCGTAATGACGAGATAAGTTACCTCGTATTAATGCGATAAATATACTCTAAATAACTTACGAGATCACTTAGCTCGCAATAAGACATTACGTTTGTTGGTGGTGATTTTTTGCATTCGTATGCGATCATAAATTTACTACAAATCAAGAATATAATCATATGAATTGTTAAATGTACAAGAGTACCCATGAACAGGCATAAAATGGCCTGTAGGAGGCAATGTGCCTACAGCAGAGCAAAGGTCCGGCAGAAACAGCTAGGGTCTGCTACAGACATAGTGGTTTGATAGTGACAGCGAGGGTCTAGAAAAGACATCAACGGGCCAGAACTGACAGCGAAGATCTGGAAGAGACAGCAATGGTCCGGGAGAGACAGCTAGGGTCTGTTACAGACATAGTGGTCTGATAGTGACACCGAGGGTCTGGAAGAGACAGCGACGGTTCAGAGGTGACAGCGAAGTTCTGGAAGAGACAGCAATGGTCCGGGAGAGACAGCTAGGGTCTGTTACAGACATAGTGGTCTGATAGTGACAGCGAGGGTCTGGAAGAGACAGCGACAGGTCAGGAGAGACAGCTAGGGTCTGTTACAGA